TGTGCTCTTCCGATCTAACTGGTCGACGATAATGACGACAATGACGTTTTTTAATCTGAAATTCCTACATTTCGGACTTTGCATTGCAATATCTCCGCTCGTAGGACATGTAGAAAAAAAATAAACACACTTTCATTATATAAATCGAACCCAAGCTATCGATTAAGTCTAGTTAGAACTTAATCGGTTCGACCGTTATTGAAATCTCAAAATCTCGGGTGCTCGCAACGCGACGGCTCGCGTTAAGAGACCCGGCATGGCTTGTTTGAACATTTGAAACCAAGCCACTACCGTGTCTCCTGATACACTGTAGCGTCTCTATATGACCATCATGTAACGAAAAAATATACTTGGTGGGAGCCGCTGCCGCGTCTCCTGATGTAGCGTCTCTGTATGACCATTATGTAACGAAAAAATATACTTGGCGGGAGCCGCTACCGCGTCTCTTGATTTACGAAGAGTAAACAACAAACCATTAATAAATTAAAACTAAATCAAGACTACTCAGTTTAAAGTTACAAAAACGTTTAATTTAAACATTTTTATTCTCTGTAACTTTATATATTGTTAAATTCTATTAATTGTTAGATTAATTTAAATGCAATTAAATTGTTGTTTATTAGTTTAATAAGTTGAAAAGTACAGTAAATGTTAAATTATTAATATGTAGTATCAATTAAATATGATTAAATCTTTAAGTCAGTACATGTTTTGAATATTATTATAATGAATCCGATATCGCATGTTTATTACAATTATTATTTTTAAAATTATTAAAATATTATTTTACCAACCTCGTTAAACGTTTATCACAATCGGTAATCTTATATATTAATCGTCCTAATTATAAACGCAAAGGTGAGCTCACCGATATCTGCTGGATAAAAGGGCTGAGTCTAATGTTTCTAATGGTAACATTAAAACATTATATTTCAACTGTTCGCACATGCGAATCGATATGTAATAAAGTATAACTCAAACATAATTATTTTTAACATATATTATATTTGTATTTATTTCTTAACTGTCTTTTATTTTCTACTTATGTAATTTCGACTTTATTTTTATTAACTTTTATACGATGATATGCTTTTGCTGCAATATGGATATACACAATTTAGTTCTATTTAGTCGTGCAAATGTATATAACGTTTTTTTTTTTAAAGTGATTGGAGATCTCACTTTTGAACTGTGGCGAGTTATGCATATTAAGATAAAATATAATTAAAAATGTGTGTCTATTTTGCATTAATGATAGTTAAAAAGATTAGCCACGTCTTATAATTCTTTTTATGAAATAAGTTTTAACAAATAGCTAATGGAAATTGTTTATTGCGCTAATTTTCATTAGTTATTTGACTATATATATATATATATTTTTTTTTTTGTTTTTTTAATTGATAAATATTTCTTTTTATTATGTATATCTTATGTATATCTTATGGAGATTAATTATATATTTCATGTTGTGTTAATTATTAAGACTTTTGAAGAAGCCCGAGAAGTGGAAAAT